CGTTCACCCTAAACCACAGAATTCTACACTGTGATAACAGAAAAATTGTAGAATTCTGTGCCGTGAACAAACTTCCATTACAACTGTAGCCTACTAAAAGACTAAAAGCTAGATCTAGATCTATCTTCTATCTAGATCTAGATCTATCTAGCTTTTAGTAGGCTACAGTTGTAATGGAAGTTTGTTCACGGCTAGATCTAAAATCTAGATCTAGATCTATATCTAGATATAGATCTAGATAAGATTTTGTTTAAGAAACAAACAAGTACGCAAATCAAGTCAAATCAGGAATGTATTTCTTTAAATTCATTAACAGAGAAGAGCATAGAAATAGAAGTAGAAGAGGTGCTCCGTCTCATCTCCGACTTCATCAAAATAGACTAGATCTAGATCTAGGCCTAATATTCAAATCATCTCATCAGAGTTATCACACTCACCACACTCAGCACCACTTAGCCTAACCTCATATTAATAAACACCACTGCACCACCGCCGTCCACTCTAGGCCTAAGGCCTAAACTATAAAATAACTCTACATAGGGCTGGGCAATGGGCAACCAGTCGCAAAATCCGGTTAAAATGATAGTGCACCTCTTCGGCAAATAATATGATATGAACCGCTTCGGCAAATGGGTTAGAACCACTTCGAAAAACGGGTTAGGCCTAGAACCACTTCAACAAATGGGTGCACCCTCTTCGGCAAACGGGTCAGGAAAGAGTTAGGATTCTGAAATCGGATAATGTTTCATTGAGAATTATCCGGCTATCCTTGTAGATTATCCGGATTTTGCCCACTTCTAGTGTCTAGGCTAGTGTCTAGCAGTTGCACTTTGCCTCGGAAATGATAATTATTGATAACGGGGTGTCTACGTACACGGTAACCGGCAACCGGTCACGTGGTCTCAGTGTTATGTACACGTTAACCGCGCGGGCAGTTCAGAACTCCAAGTTCAGTTTTTGTCATTCAGTGTTGCCTTCATCCCCACCCCTCCCCCGACTGTACCTTAATTTTTGCAAAAATCAATACCCCCCATTCCGGAGCCCTATACTTCG